GAGATGCAAGAGTAGTCTCGCGCGGCCAGACTCTCCACCCCTTAAGTCAAAAAGGGGTGGAGAGTCTGGCCACGTGAGACTAATGCAAGAGAGGCTGGAGAACACTGCACAAAAGAGAAAAAGTTCACCGATGGCCATTTTTAGTGGTGGGCGATATATCGATATTTTATCAATACAAACGATATTTTACGGTATCGATTCGTATCGGTATCGAAATTTTGAAGAAATCTGGATCGATACATCGACCACGCCCATTAATAATATTAATAATGAAAATGTTAATAAGTTAATGACGTAAATACACACACGTGGATACACGTGCATGAAAACGTCGATGAAATCAGTCAATAATAAGGGGTGTGACTCCATAGGTGTGGTCTAAATATCGTATCAAAACTGTATCGATACTCTTGATATGAGCTGATATCGATCGGTATCGTATCGAATCCATTTTGGCCAGTATCGCCCACCACTAGCCATTTTATTCATTAATAACTATTAATAAACTGTAATAATAACCATAGCAACGACAACACGGATCATACACGGAATAAAATTAAAACGGGGAAGTTTCCAATCCCAGGATAGTTCAATAAGTTCATCCTTGTCTCTTTTACTGGGTTATTTTGGTTTTGTTGACTGGTGTGTTTGCTCTGTTCAGACCCCGGCCATGAGGCTGGGGTCTGAATATGCATGCAGGCTAAGAGCTGGATTTATTATAATTTTAATCTTCTTATCAAACAATGTGAATTGATGGCTCGCCCCCTCAATGTTTACATTCACCTAGTTTAAGAATATACGGTACCTACGTATAGGAATACTTACGTATACCTACGTATATACTACGTAGATAATAGAGGTTAGGTAGTCTTTATTATCTATGGTTTTATGATCAATGTTATGATCAATGTTATGATCAATGTTATGATACTGTTTACTCTCAATATCTGCGCATGCCAATGCCAGCTGCCAAATTGGCAGCTGGCATTGGCAGTGCCAATGCCAGCAGTGAGTTACGGTAGTTATTTTTTTGTTAGCTAAAATAACAATGAAACCAATAATGTAGCTGTTGATAAACAGCTATTATGATAAACAATCAAGTAATCAAATCAAATTCATTAGCAAAAGGGTGGACCAAAACTAATTAAAACATCACATGAAGATGACTGAAGATATAAACTCATGCACAATAAAGAATTAAAACATAACAACTCCCCATTTTATTTGTCTCTTCACGATGAACATCACATCACCAAGGCAATAGATCACCATGGCAACATATGCACATTGTACATAGGCTTGAGTGTGATTGCTTGTAGTTTAGCTATTCCAGTGGAACTATTGTCAGCTGCTGCTGTCTAATGATAATAAATCGCATTGTTTAGTATAAAGTGGAGTAGGAACAAAACTTACTTTGGGAGAGCAAAATTTCTACATTGACTCATCTCATGTCATAGTTGTTTAATAATAACTGCCAGTTCTGAAAATGAAGAGTGACAGAAAAATTTATCAACAATTACAATGTTTTTTTTGGCAATCTACATTCTTAATTTAAAAATTTTATCTAAGCTCTTGACATGACTGTAACAGTTGCTTTATTCTCAAAAGTTTTATGAGTCTCATTAACCCATTCCCAATTACTGAGAATGACAACACGTAATTGAATTTGCTTTTGCAAGCAAAATGCAAAATGAAGGAAAGTGGGAGTAGCTGACTAGCTGCTTATTAATTGAAGAGGTGTGGCTTCGCCCACGTGGTTTTGGCACACTCAAGCATGTTTGCCAGTAAATACAATCCAGTGACTGGTAAGAATGAATGGATAGTGACTAATAAAGATTATGATGATATGGAGACTGATCTATCACAAGAATTCTCAAGGTAATTTTAATTAATTAATATTATTATCAATTAATTATTAATTATTATTAATTAGGTCACATTATGGTGATATGGTTCACGACATGGAGAGAGTGAGGATAATTTCAAGGCGTAATTTTAATATTTCCGCTATCATCCTTTAATTAGAATGAGAAATACTATTATGGGTTACGTTGGGCGATATGTCACTGGGAATCCAAAGGGGTGGAGCCTCGGGTCCTTGATATTGGAACTGGTACTGGACTACTGTCACTGATGGCTGGAAGATGGGGGGCAACTAACATAACAGCATGTGAAGTAAAGTTAATAATTAATATTTAATAATAATTAATATAAGTTAATTGTGTATTTATTATTAATAGGTTTATTATAATTGATTAGGTTTTGTCTCCGATGGTCAAAATTGCTAAGGAGGTTGTGAAAGTGAACGGATACGATAAAGTGATAAAAATAATTAATAAACGATCAACTGAACTAACAGTAGGACTTGGTAATAATAATAATAATAATAAAAATAATAATAATAATAATAATAATAATAATAATAATAATAATAATAATAATAATAATAATAATAATAATGATAATAATAATAATAATAATAATAATAATATGATAGAGTGTTGTTTCATTGCTAGGTTGTGATATTCCTTATAAAGCTAATGTGTTGGTCAGTGAAGTGTTTGATTCTGAGCTGATAGGAGAAGGAGCCATTGAGACCTTCACTCATGCAAAGAAATACTTACTGACAGTAAGTGATGGGGACCAGTGACTCTAGTATTGGAAGTTGTAATATTGATAACGTGGATTAAGAATTGGGGGTCATTTTTTGGAAAAAACCAGGAGCTATAGCCTTGGGTATTTTTCAGATTTTTTTATTTTCTTAAAATGATCATAACTTGAAAAATTGAAGCCGGGATTAGCTTAAACTTTCCACACAGCATAAGGACATCAATATGTATCAAAAAATGTAATAAAAATTTGGAGTGATTTTGGAGCCATTTTTTGGAAAAAACCATGGGCTACAGCCTTGAGTATTTTTTAGATTTTTGTTGTTTTCTTAAAATGGCCATAACTTGAAAAATTGAAGTCGGGATTAGCTCAAACTTTCTACACAGCATAAGCCTGAGAAACTAGTTTTTTTACATGACAATGCACCTAAAATTACTTCTTTACATTACAAAAGAATAAATTAATTTTTTCCAGTTAAACCGGATAACCATTAATCATTAATTTCAGTTAACCGGATGTATATTTTGGGTTAGGTTCACAGCTCTAGCATAAGGACATCAATATGTAGAAGTACATGTACATGTTATTATTATTGTTTATTATTATTATTAATAGGAGGATGCATTAATTATCCCTTCCAAGGCTACAGTTTATGTTAGATTGATGGAAAGTCCGTTTCTGTTTCAGTCACAATCAATTGACACCAATCAAGTAATTAACTAATTAACGATTTATCATTATTAATAATTATTAATAATTATTAATTAGTTTCCTCATGAACTCAATATTAAGATCCCTGGAGACTGGAAACATTGCCCAGGCCCGGCCTCACTATGGGATCTTCACTTAGAAGAAATTAAAGATAAATGTACAATATTATCAGACCCAGTGGCAGTGGGAGAGTAAGAACACATGATGTAATGTATTAATTAATTAATTATTATTATCATTATTATTATTATCATTAGGTTTGATTTTTCTGATCCTAATCTACCCAAGAAGAGGGTTTTCCCCTTTGTATCAGTCACACCCACTCATACAGGTACATGTATACATGTACCTGTATTCTATCATGCCTAGTTGTAATTGACCAATCAGATTGCAGAATGCCAGGTTTCTAAATCTATTAGATACCTCCCAGGAACACTTATTAACCTCCCGGGAACACTTATTAACCTCTTGGTTTATTAAATAAAATAAGCAAAACCTGGTACTCTACGCTTATGCTCTTATTAGTCCATTTGTCAAGCTTGGTTGATTCTTTACTGGCCTAGCCTGTTAGATATGTTGTATTTATGTCAACTGTGGTCTTATTATCAGCAGCTGGTATACTATGTCCCAACTGAGAATGGACCGGAAGTAATAATACATGTATACATGTATTATTATTATTTTATTATTATGATTGTTGTTATTTTTATTATATTTTTAGGTGTTCTTCATTCTATTGCTGTGTACTGGAGTATCAGTATGCCCCAGGGGGTGGAGCTTAGCATGTCACCATGGCAACAAGATCATCAAGTTAGTACATAAAATTTATTTATTTATTTATTATTATTATTATTATTATTATTACTAGTGGCGTGATCATTGGTTGCCTTGTGTTCAGATATTAAGTGATCCAATCAACATTAATAAAGGTAATTAATTAATAATTAATTAATATATCTATTAATTAGTATAAAGGTGAAACCGTGAATATTCAATTAGTTAATGATGAGTTTACACTATGGACTGTCATTGAAAACAAGTAATTAATTAATTAATTAATTATTTATTTATTTAATATTAAATTCTCTCTCTCATTAATATTCCAGTATTAATTTCTCTCCCCATTCTCCTCCATTGTGTTCCTGTGGTGTCCACATGTCCTTCAGTAGAGGAAGATTAAGAATGATTAATGATAAGGAGAGGAATGAAAGGATTAACCAATCACTGGGAGAGGTAAGGGGAGGGGCTAGGGGCGGAGCTTAAGGGGGAGGGCACTTGTAGTGAATTTAGTGAGTGATGGCTTTTAAACATTTCATTATTATTATTATTATTATTATTATTATTATTATTATTAGTTGTTAGTTGGTAAATCAACTGTTCTGTGTGTTGGTGATGGTTCATTTCTTCCATTATTTTGTGCTAATTATAAATCAGTTAAAAAGGTAATTAATGTGTGTGGGTGTTAGTTGCATAGCAACCTTGTCTCTGTAGATATTCTCAGTTGAGAGCAATCATCACTCCTTCATGACAATGGAACAAGTGAGTCCATTATCTGATACATGTACATGTACTTATGTTGTGGGGAAACTTTGAGCTGATTCTGAGAAAAATTGAAGTTGCTCCAAAATCGGGCCAAAGTTCCTGTACAGTATAGTACACGGTCACTGGCCAAATTTTGCCAAAAATGAAAAGTAGAGAATTCTCCATTTTTATTACATTTCCTGATGCATATACATGTTCTTATGTTGTGTAGAAAGTTTGAGCTAATTCCAATCAAAATTGGATTTTTAACGGATTTTTTAAGTCGTTCCAAAATTGAGCAAAAGTCCCTGTACTATAGTACAGGGTCACAGGCCAAATTTTGCCAAAAATGAAAAGTAGAGAATTCTCCATTTTTATTACATTTCCTGATACATATACATGTCCATTATACAGTTATGTTAATGATTCTCTCTCTCTCTCTCTCCAGATCATATCTTGTTCCTCATTATCAGACTCCATTAGTTTATTGTCTGTTGATCCTAATGACATCACGCCCACTCACTTAATTGGACACTCTATTGATGTCCTGTTAGCTGAACCATTCTTTGTTTCCATGACGTTACCATGGCACTCTCTCTACTTCTGGTATGTACGGACTGCACTAGATCCTCTTCTGTCAACTGATTGCGCAATAACTCCAGGCTCCGCCCACTTAATGGGATTAGCCGGTAACTAACATGTACATGTACTTGTGTAATTAATTAATTTAATATGTACATGTAATTAATTAATTAATTATTTGTTGTTTTGTTTACAGTTAAATTTGAAAACCTTCATCTATTAAAACATTCTCTTGGAAAAGTTGAAGAATTTTACTTAACCCCATATGATGATGCAGTAATTAATAGATTAATTAATTATTTATTAATTAATATTCATTAGGTAATGGAAAGTATTCCTGATATTAATAAGTCCTTGCCTCCTGAGGATTATTCACTGTGGGAATATCCCTCCTACCCCCTCAGTGGGATCCAGACACTAATGAAATTTGACTTTGCATCTCCGGTTCCGAAAGACACAATATTGAGAGAGAAAGGAAGGTATAGCACCCGCTAATGTTTACATGTACATGTACGGTATTTTTATTAATTAATATTGTATTTTTTTAATTTTAATTAGTTGGTCGTTGACCACACCCACTTCTTGTCACGGGATTGTTCTTTGGATGGAGTACAGTACTGGATGGACTCCAGTTTTATTAGACGAGCCCATATTTGGTCATAAGTTGAACTGGTCGTCCAATCAGAATCAAGGAGTGTGTTTCTTTGTAAAGGAGGATTATGAGGGGGAGGGGTCAGTAGGCGTGGCTTATGATATCAGTATGAACACTGAAACTGGTGACTTGGGTATGGAATTTGAACTAATTTTTTAACTACAAACTACATTGAAGCAATGTACTTTTATGTGGCTGTTTTAAAATGTTGAAATTGAAAAAAATCAAAATTTTCTTCAAAATTTGCATTTTCTGATATTCTTATGCTGTGTAAAAAGTTGCTCAGTTATTTGAAACTGGCACAGATTAATCCCGCTCTGAATGGCTGCCACAACTTGCTTTGCCGGGAAAATAAACTCCTTTCTTTTATTATAAAAAGAAAAAGACTTACAATAATAGCATTATAATTTCTTAAAGCAGCAAAAGTAGCAAAGTACATTAATGATAATAATAATAATAGCAGCAAAAGTTAACAATAGCAGTTTCTAAAATACAGCAGTTTTATAATCACTCAATACATTATTTAGTAACAGTAGTTATTAATGTCACTATCACACTTATAAATGCAAAGGCAATAGATATGTAAGCAATATTTAGATTAAAAGGAATACTAGCACACATAATACGTAACCTGAAACTAAACTTTCTTTCCTTCATAGACTCAATAAACTCGTGCATCACTGTGTTTGGAATAGCATTATATTCTTGACTACTGATCCTTCTTATAACACGTTGTCTTGTCCTGGTAACACTAGCAGCTCTGAGGCAAGGATAAAGTAGAAAGAGCCAGTGTAGTACACTGTACATGAATAGGAATCCAATCTCTCCAGGTTGAAACCCAACCCCATGCTCAATGTGAGATATTTTTGCTTTCACGTGAAGTGCAATGGCCTCGATCAGTAGTGACATTATCAAGAATGTTGATATTATATGGAGTATCCAGTGGAGTAGGAACCATAGCTGAAGCCAGCTCAGTGTGGATACTGCTGTATTAATTAAATGTCGATCATGCTTCTTAAGATATTTCTTAGCATCACCTTTTGCAATGAGTTCACCTTGTGCAGCATTTAGCAAACCTATTTTTCCAAGATATATGCGTACATAGTTTACCTTAACCAGCTCTTGAACAGTAACAGCAGGAGTAGTTGGGGGGGCACTAGCAGCAGAAGTGGTTGGGGTACTAGTAGGTCTAGTAACAGCAGGAGTAGTTGGGGCACTAGCAGCAGAAGTGGTTGGGGTACTAGTAGGTCTAGTAACAGCAGGAGTAGTTGAGGTACTAGCAGCAGAAGTGGTTGGGGTACTAGTAGGTCTAGTAACAGCAGGAGTAGTTGAGGTACTAGCAGCAGAAGTGGTTGGGGTACTAGTAGGTCTAGTAACAGCAGGAGTAGTTGGGGCACTAGCAGCAGAAGTGGTTGGGGTACTAGTAGGTCTAGTAACAGCAGGAGTAGTTGGGGCACTAGCAGCAGAAGTGGTTGGGGTACTAGTAGGTCTAGTAACAGCAGGAGTAGTTGGGGCACTAGCAGTAGCAGCACGTTTTTTTTTAATCTTATAAACCTCATTAATATGATATACAAATAGTTCTATTTCTTCACATCTTCTCTGTATCCCATACATCAACTTTGAGAATATGAAGCAACTGACCAGAACACGAAATAAAGAATAAACATGTATTGCAACAGCAGCAATTTCCAAATTAAATTTGCGTTCTATTGATCTACCTTTATTCTGTTGATAATAAAGCCAAAAGAATACTCCAGCAGTGGTAGCAAGTAGCGTAAACCCAATGATAAACCATGTTACATAATGGCACAATCGTTCACCTTGAAGTGGTGTGTTAGTACGTACATCTTTTGTATGAAAGAAATCACTTTTCTTTTTTATTTTCTCTTTATATAGTTCTTTAAGTTCTTCTGTTGTGTTTATTCCCATTAAATCACTGTCTTCAGTTTTATCATTAAAAGGATCTAATGGCAGTTCACCTTTATTACTTGTCACACCACAGCATCTCTTTTTAAAATAATTTAATCTTTTTAACAGCCACTCATTAAAACTGTCATAGTGTTTAATATACAGGCACCACAGTGCCCATATGAACAATACATGAGATACTGCATTAGCTGTTGTTGAGAATAGCAGTGATATCTTACTGAGATCAACGAAGTCTTGAATCAGTGGTTTAGTAATGCTATTATTAACATCATTCTCTGTAAAGAGGAAGATAAGATAAGTAGTGCAAGTATAAATTTTTTACCTCGTTTATAATCTCTCAATACGAGTTCAGGAAACTGAGGGAAGTCATTATTATTTGTACTGTTGTCATAATTGAAGTATAGTGTATAGCATAATTTAGATATTTCATATTCAGTGCCTTCTCTACATGTAGCCCAACCAACAATGAACATAACCAGAGGAAATATGTTGATGGCAACTGCTACAATAGATATAAGCATTATGAAGCAGCCAAAATAGATTTGACAACAGCCAAATAAGTAACCTTTCTTAAAAAGGTAACCTTTCTCATAGCAGCCACCAATCCAGACAGAACCTTTACACTTGTCGCAACTATGCATGGCACAGCAACAAGCTTTTTTGAACTCCTTGTTGCAGCATTTGCTGTCATAATCACAGCACTTTTCTCCCTCCCTTTTTGGTTGTTGTATCCAATGGCAGGTAATAAAATTAAAGAAAAAGAAACAAATTGGAACAAAGACTTTTGTGCAGCAATCTATTTTATTTTTAATAATATGGATATCAATTGTCAACATTTTTGAACTTACTCTTTAAAGTTAAATCTGACTCTTGTCTAAAATTAGCAAAATAACTTTTATATAAAAACATGTAAATACTTACCCAGCCATTATGGTTGTCTGACTTAGATCTATAGTCTTAAGAATGATAAAATGTGGAACTAAGCAACAGGTCAATCACTAGTATAAGGTCACTTTAGTTGAAGGTGAGGTCGATATAGATCTATTGTGTTATGATAATCCACTATAACTATGAATATATTAAAGTACTAGGTGATGTATACCTCAGTGTGGTAAACAACTGTGGACTCTACAAATAATTATAGTATATCTTTTATTATTATTATTATCCAGTGTACTCTATACTTTAGGAATACCTACCTATATACATGTAATCATTAATGAACAATAAATCTAACTAGATCTAGTCTTGAAAGAACGCTACATGTGAATGTTATGATAATCTCATTCAGTTAAACTAACAATGAAAGTATCAATAGGTATGTGTCTAATTATAGTAACATAGCTAAGCATCTAAAAATAGTAGCACAGTCACTAATGAGTATACAAAGCAATTAAATGCTTAGAATTGTAGCTTTTTACATAAGGAATATATATAGATTCAAATGCTGTTTTTGTGCTCTATCGGGGCAATCTGTTATTTGTATTTAAAATGCACATTAATTTTATTTTATTAAAGTCAACTACCACAAATGCAGCTGTCTTCCCAACTTTAAAGAATGGAGCTAATGGTGACAGTAAGAAGAAAAGAGTGTGTATAGTGTGTTTTAAGTTATTGCTCTGATTCCACTGTTAGTAGGCAATCATGTTTGTTTATTTTAAAAAGATTATAACTACAAATCAGCGTAAGAATAATAATGTAAACTAATAATAGCTCAGTATCTAATATAGCAGCAACAGCAAATTAAAGCAGCATAATAATAGAAATAATAATAATAATAATAATAATAATAATAAAATAGCAGCAAAATTAGTAATAATAGTAAAAGCACAGCAATAAGCATTAAAAATAATAGCAATATAATGTAATAAAACAATCCAGCAAAGCAAACTAAAACAATGTATAGCAATAGTAAAAACTAATACTAAAGGAAGCTGACAAGGTTAAAGGAGTTGTTCTTAGCTAGTAACACTAGTTATTAAACTAACTACAATACCAACAAAACCAAAGGCAATAGACAAATAAGCAATGTTTAAGTTAAAAGTTATACTGGCACACAATATACGGAACCTGAATCCAAACTTCCTCCTCTTCATTGACTCAATGAACTCTGGTATGACATCTTCAGGGAGATTAGTAAACTTGTAAGCATCATTACTAATCTTTCTTATAACACGTTGTCTTGTTCTAGTGACACCAGCAGCTCTGAGGCAAGGATAAACTAACACAAAACACTTCACTAGACTGTACAAGCATAGGAACACTATCTGTACTGGATGGAACCCAACCCCAGGCTCAATATGTGGTACCCTATCCTTAACATGAAGTGCCACTGCATCAATAAGTACAGTGAGTATCATGAAGGTTGATATTATATAGAGTAGCCAATGGAGTAAGAACCATAACTGAAGCCAGCTAAGTGTCACTACTGCTGTGTTAACAAAACGTTTGTCACGTTCCTTGAGATACTTTAAAGCTAATGCCTTCTTGCCGTTATCATCATCTTCAGTTACATTGATGTATCCTTTGATCAATTCCTTCATAGCATAGGCATAGCTAGCAGCTTGTGCTTCTATTCTTTCATTCTGTGTGATGTAATGCTGCTCTTTAATATCATTACAATCTACACTGTTTATTCCAGCTATAACATATTCTTCAATTTTCTTCAAAGAAGCATTGCTGTAGCAAGTATTGTTAGTGTACTTTTTTTCTGGAAAATTAACACGAGTTTTAATGGCCTCTTTTATTTGATTACATGATGCATTCACTTCATTCATATCAGCATTTTCATTGAACTCCTTCAAAAAACCACCAGCCAGCTTCCCTGCTAAACTAGCAATATTATCACCAGATGATTTAACAAATTTTAGCATTTCAGTAGCAGCTATTTTAAGCTCTGACTCAAATCTTGTTTTTACATATTTCTTTACTTTGTTGTCATTAGTCTCATTGATATTATCATTAGTGTAATATACATACATTTCTATTTCTTCACATTTTCTCTGTACAGCGTACATCAACTTTGAGAATATAAAGCAACTGACAATAGTACGTATTAATGACCAGGCATAAAGAAAGGTAGTGGAAATTTCTAGCAATGGCTTTTCTACTTGGCTGTAATTATAATTTATATATTGAACAGAAAAAAAGGTCAAACCAACTGCAGCCATCATTACTAGTCCAATAGCAAACCATGTGTTGTAATGACATAATCTCTCACCTTGAAGTAATGTACTGGTACTGGTGTCTTGCTTGGAGAAAAAGTTTTCTTTCTTTTGATCTCCCTGCTGTTGATCTCCCTGCTGTCGATCTCCCTGCTGTCGATCTCCCTGCTGTCGATCTCCCGGCTGTCGATCTCCCGGCTGCCGATCTCCCGGCTGCCGATCTCCCGGCTGCCGATCTCCCGGCTGCCGATCTCCCGGCTGCCGATCTCCCGGCTGCCGATCTCCCGGCTGCCGATCTCCCGGCTGCCGATCTCCCGGCTGCCGATCTCCCGGCTGCCGA